CCAGGGAAGCTGCTCCTGCTGCTGACGGTCGGCGGGGTCCCAACACCCACCACCCTGAGGGCCCCAAAGCTGAGCACCAGGATCCAAGAGGAGCTGGGAATTCCAGGGGCAGGTTGAAAGGTTTGAGCTGTTTTCATGGAATGATGGGAGCAGAGGGTGGGCTGGGTTGGAAGGGACCTTAAAGACCATCCAGTTCCAACCCCAACACCTCCCACTCTCCCAGGTTGCTCCAACCTGGCCTTGGACACTTCCAGGGATCCAGGGGCAGCCACAGCTTCTCTGGGAAATCCATTCCAGCTCCTCCCCACCCTCCCAGCCAGCAATTCCTTCCCAATATCCCAATATCCCTGCCCTCTGGCAGTGGGAAGCCATTCCCTGTGTCCTGTCCCTCCAGGCCTTGTCTCCTGGAGCCCCTTTAGGCCCTGCCAGGGGCTCTCAGCTCTCCCTGGAGCCTTCCCTTCTCCAGGGGAACATTCCCAGCTCTCCCAGCCTTGGACACTTCCAGCATTCCAAAATCACACTCAAACCAGTGCCTGCTTATCCATAAAGTCCCTCCCCCTCTGGATGAGGTGGAGCAGTCACTGGACAACCTGGAGATTTCCCCCCCAAACCCGCTGGCTTTTCAACCAGAAATTCGGGATAAATTCTGACTTTTCCTTGGAATAAACTCCCTTTTGGTGACTCTTCCCTTCTTTTTTCCATTTCTGCAGGGGCTGGTGAATCCCTCCAGAGAAAATCCAGCAAGCCCAGGTCAGGTTCTCACATCCCTCAGCTCCTCACCCAGCCAGGCTCCAATTCCAGAGCTGTCCTGCCTCCAATCCCACCCGGCAGGAAAAGCAGCAACCCCTGATGGCCCCACTCCCCCCTCCCCAAAAAATCTTGGCCACTCCCACTCTTTATTTTAACAAAACCAGCGATTTTCATCCAAGATTATTACAAAATCCATTTCTTATTAGCCCTCAAAAAAAAAAAAAAGTTATTTATTTGGAATTTTATTAAATAAAGTCATTTTTCTCTCTTTCCCAAAGCTAAAAATTATTTCCCTGGGAAAAATTATTCCCAGCTGGGAGATTTTTTTTCCCCCAACAGCCACAGAACTGTATTTTCCATTAATTTCTCTCTTTCCTCCCCCCCCTTTCTCTATTATGGAATTAATTGTGGTGTGAAAATATTGTCTGTGTTGGAGGAGCAGTGAATTATTTTGAAGAGGGATTTTGGGAGATGTTCAGAGGTGAGTTGAAAGAAAAAAAAATTCAAAATCCTTTTTTTTTTTAGAAAAAAAAAGGGGTGTAGTCATAATCTGATCTGCAAATGCATTTTACTAAAAAATAAAGATTAAAAATGCTAAAAAAATAAATACTTAAAAATACTAGAAAATAAAGACTAGGAAATAAATACTAAAAATAAAATGCTAAAAAAATAAAATACTAAAAAATACTTTAAAATGCTAAAAAGAAATACTAAAAACCCCCAAAATACTAAAAATACTAAAAATAATTACTGAAAAATACAAAAATAAATACTAATAGAACACTAAAAATACTTTTTAAAATTACCAATAAATACTAAAAATAAATACTAGAAAATAAATACTAAAAAATAAATACTAAAAAATAAATACTAGAAAATACTAAAAAACCAAAATACCAAAAATTACTAAAATAAAATACTAAAAAATGCTAAAAATATATACTCAAAAGAAAGACTATAAATATTTAAAAATGCTAAAAATAAACTCTAAAAACTAGGCTACTAAAAATACTTTAAAAATTACTAATAAATACTAAAAAATAAATACTGAAAAATACAAAAAATAAATACTAATAGAATACTAAAAATACTTTTAAAAATTACCAATACTAAAAATAAATACTAGAAAATAAATACTAAAAAAATACTTTAAAATGGTAAAAAGAAATACTAAAAAAACCCTAAAAAACAAAATACTAAAAATGCTAAAAATAATTACTGAAAAAACCTAAAAAATAAATACAACCCCTCAAAAATGAATACTAAAAAATAAATACTAGAAAATACTAAAAAACCAAAATGCTAAAAAATACTAAAATAACATACTAAAAAATGCTAAAATATATATTCAAAAGAAATCCTATAAAATAAATATTTAAAAATGGTAGAAATAAATACTAAAAAATAAAATACTTAAAAAATACTTTAAAAATTACTAATAAATACTAAAAAATAAATATTGAAAAATACAAAAAATAAATACTTATAGAACACTAAAAATACTTTAAAAAATTACCAATACTAAAAATAAATACTAGAAAACAAATACTTAAAAAATACTAAAAAATACTTTACAATGCTAAAAAGAAATACTTAAAAATACTTTAAAAATACTAAAAATTCTAAAAATAATTACTGAAAAATATTAAAAAATAAATACAACCCTGCCAAAATAAATACTAAAAATAAATACTAGAAAACACTAAAAACCAAAAATGCTAAAAGTATATACTCAAAAGAAATCCTATAAAATCAATATTTAAAAATGCTAAAAATAAATACTAAAAAATAAAATACTTAAAAAATACTTTAAAAATTACTAGTAAGTCCTAAAAAATAAATACTAAAAAATACTAAAAAAAAAAATTACTAAAAATAAATCCTAAAAAATAAATCCTGAAAATTCCAAGCAAACCTTGGAGAAGGAAAGATTCCTTCCAGCCAAGAATTGGGTACAGCTGCCCAGGGCAGGGGTGGAATCCCCCATTCCTGGAGGGATTTAAAATCCCTGTGGATTTGTGGTGGCCTCGGCACTGCTGGGGAATGGTTGGATTCCATCCCAGAGGGCTTTTCCAGCCTAAACAATTCCATGGCTGTAGATTCCAGGATTCCCTGTCAGTTTTCTCTGATTGCCAAGAGCAAAGTGTGAAAGGAGAAATAAAACCAACACTTTGGAGAGGATACAGGTTTATTCTGCTTTAAAAAAAAAACAGCCAACAAAAACACACCCTAAACCCAACAAAATACCCCCAAAACCCAACAAAAATATTCCCAAAAATACCCCCGAAACTCAAAATTATCCCCCCAAAGTACCCCCTAAACTCAACAAAAATACTCCTAAAGCTGAGAAAAATACCCCTAGCCCCCCCAAAATTACCCCCTAAACACCAAAAAAAAATCCCCCAAATTACCCCCTAAACCCAACAAAAATACCCCCAAAAATATCTCCCCACACCCAATAAAAACACCTCCTAAAGCCAAGAAAATTACACCTTAAACTCAACAAAAATACCCCCCTACACCCAACAAAAATATCCCCTAAAGCCAATAAAAATATACCCTAAATCCAATAAAAACACCTCCTAAACCCAACAAAAACATCCCCCAAAATATACACCCTAAACCTCAAAAATACCCCCTAAACCAAATAAAAATACATCTTAAACCCAACTAAAATACCCCCTAAACAAAAAAACTAAATCCCCCAAAAATACAGCCCTAAACTTAATAAAAATACCCCCTAAACTCAATAAAATTACACCCCAAACCCAATCAAATTACACCCTAAACCCAATAAAATTACACCCCAAACCCAATCAAATTACACCCTAAACCCAACAAAAATACCCTTAAACCCAACAAAAAATATCTTCCCAAAGCCCAAAAAATACCCCCTAAACCCAACAAAAATACCCCCTAAACCTAATCAAATTACACCCTAAACCCAACAAAAAATATCTTCCCAAAGCCCAAAAAATACCCTCTAAACCCAACAAAAATACCCCCTAAACCCAATAAAATTACACCCTAAACCCAACAAAAATACCCCTTAAACCCAACAAAAAATATATTCCCAAAGCCCAAAAAATACCCCCTAAACCCAATAAAAATACCCCCTAAACCCAATAAAATTACACCCTAAACCCAACAAAAATGCCCTTAAACCCAACAAAAAATATCTTCCCAAAGCCCAAAAAATACCCCCTAAACCCAACAAAAATATCCCCCAAAATATACACCCTAAGCCCCCAAAAATATCCCCCTAAACCCCACAAAAATACTCCCTAAACCCAACAAACACACCCCCTAAACCCAATTAAAACACCTCCTAAACCCCACAAAATTACCCCCTAAACCCAACAAAAATACCCCTTAAACCAAACAAAAATAACCCCTAAACCCAAAAAAAATACCTCCAAACCCCAACAAAAATACCACCCTAAATCCATAAAAATACCCTCTAAACCCATCAAAAATACCCCCTAAACAGAACAAAAATACCCCTTAAACCAAACAAAAATAACCCCCAAACCCAATAAAATTACACCCTAAAGCCAACTAAAATACCCCTTAAACCCAACAAAAATACCCTAAAGACCCAAAATACCCCCTAAACCCAACAAAAATACCCTAAAGACCCAAAAATACCCCCTAAACCCCACAAAAATACCCCCTAAATCCAACAAAAACAAGCCCTAAATCCATAAAAATACCCTCTAAACCCCACAAAAATACCCCCCAAATCCCAACAAAACCACCCCCTACACCCAACCATCCCAAAAGATGCTTTGACTCCCTTTTCCAGCCTCTCCTAAAAAAAACCCCCACAAACCTTAAATCCCAATAAATCAGCAGCCCCATTTTGAAGGGGGAAAACCCCCGGATTGAAATGCTAATTTCAGGGAATTTCTGCCGCTTCCATGATTCCCAAGGGTGACAAATATTCAGGAACACACCAGGAAGCTAAAAAAAATCCCCCCCAGTAGCAACAGATAACTGTTGGATGTGTTGGGAGCAAAGAGCATGTGGATAAATAGAAGCAGAACACGCCACGACATTTCCATAAAAAAAATTCAAAGCGGAGATTGTGGCTCAACGTCCAAATTCCTCGATAGGAAGGATGAGATTCAGGAGTGATGTGCAGTCGTAGTGTTCGAGCTGGACGCAGCACAGCGTTGGAACAAATCCTCCTCAATTGCTGGCGTCTATGGATTTGGCATATATGGGATGGTCTGAAGCCTGAGAGGAAACTATTCCTGTCCGCTGGCAAATTCCTCTCCCACCTCTATGTTGGTGGCTTCTATCCCATCCGCTCCATTGTTACGCTAGATTGGAGGAGAATTATTCACAGAGGATTAAGCTTCCTCCCATGTGCCCGGGTCCCCTATGCCTGGAGCTACGCAAAGCCAGCTCGCAGTCACGCCGAGTTCAACAACAATCCTGTGGACAACACTTCCGTGATTGCATGCTTAAAACGCGCTGTTTCCTCAGCTCGGATAATACATTAGAACTGACCGAAGAAAGGTCCGTTCATGGATTCAGGGATGGAGCTGCAGGTCCCTCTCGCACCCCACACGCATCGATGGACCTGTGGATTGGGAACTTGTCTTCCCGCATAAGAGGATGTTTGGGATTGAGCCAAACCCACACTGGGAACACAGCAAAGCTGATCCCAAGGGATGGGAAAAGAGGAAAACCCTTCAGGATCTCAGGATGGAGCTGCAGGTCCCCTCAGCCCCACACCGGCTCCGACTGGGATGGAGGGAACTTCTCCCACAGGGGATTTTTGGGATTGAGGCCAAACCCACACTGGGAACACAGCAAAGCTGATCCCGAGGGATGGGAAAAGAGGAAAACCCTTCAGGAGCTCGGGATGGAGCTGCAGGTCCCCTCAGCCCTACACCGGCTGGGATGGAGGGAACTTTTCCCACAGTGGATTTTGGGATTGAGGCCAAACCAGTGCCTGGAGGACAGCAAGGAGCCTTTCCCTTTATTCCCACTCTGCTTCCCAGGAATGATTAGGCCACGGGTGGGCAAGGAGTTGGGAAGGGGAATATCCAAGAGAGCTGATGAAAACCAGCACTAAAAACAGAGGGAAGAAATTTGGGAAAAGTGTCATTGCTCAGGGACTTGTTGGGTGGGAGAAGGTGAGTGACTCCTGGGACTTTTTTTCCATCCTCTTTCCTTTGTTGTTAAACCACCTTTCCCTCTCCTTGGCTTTGGGACAAGGGAGTTCCAAGCTGGATGGGGCTGAGGTGGAAATCCTGGATGCCTGAAGTGTCCCAGCCCAGCAGGGAAAGCTCCACCCCGGTGGGAACACGGAGCTCCAGGAAAACTGTGACACTGAGGGACAGGGGATG